TACTCTATACGACGTTGTCCTAAAGTCATCGATTAAAATTTATCAAAAATTACTTGCACTCTAAACTGTATACACGTTTTTAATTTGATATTTTATCTTAATTATTCTTATTCTATCGAGCATTTTAAAAAAATTTTAAACGAAATGTAAATGTTTCGTATCGGCACGCATATTCTGATTTATTGATTAATTCTTTGAATGAAAATTATTAAAATAAATTAAAAATGAAATAGATTAATATGTTAACCATTAAATCCTGAGAATAAGCATTTAAACAATATGCACATATTTATTCAAACGTACAATATGTTTTTTTAACGTACTCACATAATTGACGTGAAAACTAATAATCCATCACTTAAAACCCTCGAATACGTACGTAGCCTATACGTGAGATGGGTAAAAGTATTATTTAATTATAATTTTTAGTATCACATCGTAATAAAATCATCCGGTTGAATATTACATTCAAATGGAAACAAAAAAATTGATGACCAACCAGTGAAAAGTATTTGGGAACAGACAAATTGGTATTCATTCGTGATCAATGGCCAGAGCTCATGCAAGCTCTCGTGCACGCGTTTTTGGTTTTTCCCCATTATTCTTTTAAAATATTGTATACCTTTATGTTGGTGTGCGTGCATAAGCGAGTGCAGAAAAGCTTGGACGCCCAAGTCATATACGTTTGCGTGAGGCCCGGTCGCAACATATAAAAGACATCATAAAAAAAAAAAAAAAAAAAAAATATGTGCCTAGCATCGGATGTGGTAAAAACATGATTTTTGTACACACGTAGACGTGGTGGTTGCAGGCACCAAAACCATGCAAGAGTATGCCAATTGTGTGATGTTTGAACATCACGATTTACGTGTTTTAAATTTCCATGTGGTGTCGCGCGTAAATCCTCCGTCATAGTCACTCGTTTGTGGCTTAATAAGTACACATCAGTTCCTCCGTTGCTGAATATTTACGATGAACAAAGCCTACCTACTTACCTATAGCGGCCAAATTCGTCACGTAGGCATCAGACGCTCGCATGGAATTTTTTTTTTTTTTTTTTTTTTTTTTCTTGGCGAGTCTTCTCCCGGGTTTTTTACAACCTTTCTGCTACGTGTGTGCTGAATATTTCCTTCGATCCTCGAGTTACTTCAAGTACTGGGTTTAAAAAAAAATAGCGTCCAATTTGTTGAAAATAATGATAATTTTTCGCTGTAGTCAACCATCAATCGCTCTACTTTGTGCAGTTTCGTGAAATCTTTTTTTTTTAATAAAAACTCTTGCGTCACACTCAACGTTGAAACGAACGTATCACGAAAAAAGCCAATCATTTTTTAATGATATAGACCAAAAATCGTACAATCACTTAAAGTACGCATCTTATAGCCAACCGCTGGTTACATGCGTCAGACGAGTCGTGTGGATTAGAAAAAAAAATTTTTGTTTTTTTTAATCGTAGAGGTCTATCAGCACACAGGTTACTTGTAAAATGCAAAGCTGCTCCACTTTAATTGTCATCGGTCCCGTGCGTGCATAGGTAATGCCACGTAACGACACACAGGTACATTATGTAGGAGCAGTTACGCGAAAATCGTTCGGTTGACAGTATGTAGAAACTGGAAGGAATTTATTTTAAAGCACACTCTTGGGGGATGAAACTTTGGTCTTTTATGTCTAGAAAAAATGTATGAATGTACAATACTTTTCCAATGACACATTTTTTACTTTTTATTTAAATTTATACTGCAATACTTAGAAATACCTCCACGCAGCGATTGATTAATATTAATTAAGTATAGCTGCTCATTAGTTGGTTAATGCCAAAGTGACGGTGTTCAGGCATGAGTTTGCGTTATTTCAATAATATTTCATTTCTCGAATCAGACAAAGTTGTACTTTTTTTTTCAGAATCCGTTCCAAAACCATTAAATCGTTATTTCGTTGAAACGGGCATTTTCATCCAATAAAACTCTCGTCTTCATTTGAAATGAAAATCA